CACTTTGATCACTGAGAGTTATGCTTGTACCTCTCAAATGGTTTCTTAGTTGTTTCATTCATTTTAATATTTGATCTTGGCCCATTATGTTAATTATTCATTAAATTTAATTTAACAGATCTCCAAGCACTTATTTGAGCTTAAGTTATTGAATTGTTGTATGATAGTAAAACATATTTAATAAAGTCTTGCACATTTGAACTATTTTTTCTTTTTCGTGTATGTTGTGCAGGAATGTTTCATGTGTGCACGTGTATACGTGAGTGCATGCATACATGTGTGCACATGAGTGTGGGGATTTAAGGTTATGGAGGAATCGGAATAACCTTAGCTCTTCGTCTGTCAGTCAAATGCTCACTTGTGGGGCTAGTCTCCCCCATGGCCAGGTTGCTCTGGGGATCTATTCTCTGCCTTTCAAGGTCAGAATTACAACTATACCACCTAGCATTTACATGGTTCTGTCCTCGTGCTTAAATAGCAAGTGCTTTAGACACTGAGCACTTAATAGTAAGTGCTTTAGTCCTCAGCCCATTTTTAAAAAATTATTTTTAGGTGTACAATTCTATATCACATGTTCACACTGTGGTGCAACCACCTCCACCATCCCTTTCATCTTTTCCAACTGAAACTCTGTTTCAATTAACCTTAATTCCCTGTTACCTCCCTCCCCAGCCTCGGGCAACCACCTTGCCTATGTGAATTTGACTGCTCTGCATACCTCATATGAAGGGATCACACAATGCTAGTTCTTTGATGACTGGTTTTGTATACTTAGTAAAATGTGTTCCACGATTATATTATAGCATATGCCAGAGTTCCCCTCCTCTTGTATATGAAATTTTTCTGTAAGATGTGATTACTAGTTCTAATAATGGAATTGGTATAAAATACCAAACTTCATAATTCTTTTGCTAAATATATGAATATATGGGGATAATTTGTACCCTGGAATAAGTAATTTTAATAAAGAACAGATAACATACTAGGGAATGGCAACGTGGAACTTACTAGATTTGGTACCTAAGCAAGGGGTGTCCTGAACTCTCAAAATGATGAGCCAATGTCTGAAAGGAAGAATGGATGATGGACGGATGCAGGAGAGCCTGGGCAGTTGAAGCCATGAAGTCCCTTGGAAAGGTGAGGGACTAGAGGGCCACTAGGTGCTAAGAGCAATATGTATGCCACAGAAAGCTGAAATAAAGAACACCAAACTTTATTGAGAAAGGGTGCAACCCAGTGAAGCGCTCATGACCTGTAGGGAGGGAAGCTCTTAGCCGAGGTTTGGCACTGTGCAGCTGCAAGGCAGAGAAAAGGGAAGTAAGGGATTTCAGGTGATTCTAATATTGAAGCCTGATTGCTAAGTACCACATGTGTTTCCTTCAGTGTTCAAAAGAGGAGACAAAATGGAAATGGATCTGAAAGGGAAGGTAGCAGATGAGACAGCACTGTTATACTCTATAGAGCGGTATCTCAGAACAGCACCTGTTTCTGTTAGAGAGCCCTCCATACATCCACCTAATGAGTATCTTTTACTTTTTATTTATTTAGATGTTTTTATGTGTATGAGTGTTATGTCTACATATATGTAAGTGCACCTGTGTCATGCAGTGCCCAAGGAGGATAGAAGATATCCTGGAACTGGAGTGATGAACAGTTGTTAGCCACCATGTGGGAGCTGGGATTTGAGCCTGGGCCTTTGTTAAGAACAGCCAGTGCTCTAAACGACTGGGCCATCTCTCCAGCCCTTCTTTTACTTTTCTTTAAAAAACACTCTGAATCCTTCCTTGTGCTGCAGTTGTCATCTGTCCAAGTTAGTTTGTTGAGGACTGGGCAGATGTGTCCTCTCAGATCTTACCATATCCTAGGAAGGAAGTCTCTAGAAAACTCCATAAATTCTGCTCTCCCTCCATCCCTCCACCTCCTCTCCTCCACTCCAAGCAGACCATATACTTTGTTTCTTTTCAGGTGGAGAAAAGGACTCTAATGCAAAGGAATATGCATCTATGAGTTTGTGTGTTGGGAGCAATCCAGAAGTTGGGGGGGTAGGAAGTGAAACATCTTTTTTCCATGTCAAACAGCTTTCTCAGTCAACAAGAATTTTTATATAAAACTTCTAATGTATTTAAGAAAAATGAGTTTTTCCTGATGTTTTTATAGAACAATCACAAAAAAAGAAACTGAGACCAAAGTCCCCAAGCTAAGACAGAGGTACAAGAAAAGTAAAAGTTTTTTGTATCATAGAATGAAAAGTAGTTCTCCAAGAACCAAATCAGCCACCAGTAACATAGCTAGGAAAAATTTTATAATTATCTATAAGCTTAATAGTCAAAATGTAAACTTCTCAAAAATCATCTAATTTGTTATATTTAATGTAAATAAACTTTAAAAATTCTTAGCAGGTGTACACTGTTTGCTGTAATATATATCATTCTATTGCAGATAGATAGATGATAGATAGGTAGATAATAGATAAATGATAGATGATAGATTAAAAACAAGCAGTTTTAGAACTATTCATTGGTTTACACTATTAGCATCCTCTATATTCTCTTTATCCCATCTCCATTTACATCAAGAAGTCAAAAACTAATGATATAAAAGACATCATCAACACACAGAGTCATATTCAACTTCCTCAGTTATTTATCCTTAAGCCATTGGATGTCATGACAAAATTAAAACTGTGTATAGGAGCCATCTTATAGGATATCAGGAAAGAGAGGTTCTGATGGTTCTAAGTTTTGGAATTATGGAGATTTCTAAGCACTTAGTTTTTAAAGAAAGAGGATACACAAAAACCCTACTGACTACTACACGAATATAATACTAACTCAAGGTTTTTGTAATGCAAAATTGGTCATTGTCCCCTATAGCTGTGTTTAATTTTGCAATGTACAGTGTACATAAAGGACAGAGAAGTCCAAACACGCAACATCTAGTCTTACTAGACATCAAAGAAGTTGCCAGTGACAAAAGTAAAGAGTTAGTGAACAAACACGGTGGTTACCCTTTGTGTTAAAATTTTTAGGAAACCACTTATGGAGTGAAACTGTTAGTAGCCACTCAAAGCAGAACAGTTGCATAAGC